GGTGAAGGCAGGTAGCAGGAATGTGGAAAAGGCTGCAGAGAGACATTCAAGCTGGAGAGAGGCGGCGCAGGGCAGTGGTCAGCATGAACTGAACCTGGGGTGAGGGGGCAAATGGTGGGGCTAAAGTCCACTCTGTGGCTGTGCCCCTGACCCAGCCTGGTGCCCACCCAGGGCAACTCTGAGGCCAGAGTAGCAGGGAGGAGCCAGGAACCAGCAGACCCTGCAGGAGGGAGCAAAGAAGGGCTCCTAGCACCTTGCAGCTGCCCGTCAAGCTCCCCAGTGATGTGGACGCAGCCCGAAGTGGGAGCATTGCACACGTGTGAACATGTGCCTGCACACGGGCCCACCCACCTCAGCGGCCCTGGGGGGTCCACACAGTTCAGGAGAAGTGGGTCAGCCCAGTGGATCTCCCTAGTGGGCAGCAGAGGGCGTGTGCTCATCAGCACCCCTGGGGAGAGCCCCACACTCCACAGAAGGCGGCCTCACTGTTCCCGCTGCATCAGAGCCAGTGACTCGCTGTCCCCGGGATCCTCCACCAGGCGGGGTGGATGTTGACAGGGGGTGGGAGAGCTGACCCCTTCCAGCCCTGAAACCGGGGAAGACTGGGTGGGAGATAGCGCCCACATTAGCCCAGCTCCCACTGCAGTCTCTGCCCCAACACCATCTGGTGACTGCAGCCAGAGGGCCCGGTGCTATCCAGCCAGGCGCTGGGATTGCAGAGACGTGGTGACGGTGTATGGCCGGGTCGGGTTCACCACACTGAGGGGGGTAGAGGGAGGGGACAGGATTGGGCCTCTGGGGGCCTGCCACCATCCCCCCCCCGGGGGTCTGACATGGGCTAGAGACACTGAGGGCATCCATGTGGCATTTCAGATGGACTCCTGGCATATGTTCAGGCTGAGAAGTAGGAGAGGAAAAGCAGTGGGCAGGGGAAGCTTCTATTGGAACAGGCTTATTCATGAATGGAGGGGGGGGCTGGATAGGGGGGGCAGGATCCTGAGGAGGAAGGGTGGGAGCCAAGCTGAGGAGGGAGGAGGCCCCAGCTCCCAGCCAGCTGGGAGACTGCAGATGGGGCTGGGTGGGAGGCCAGGAAGTTCCCTCCTGATGTTCCTCCTCCCTGTGAAGTGGGAGGCTGGGTCGTGCAGAGGGAAGGGGAGAGCAGAGGAGGGTTTGGGTCTAGGAGAGCGGCTGAGCCAGGGTGAGGAAGCCCGGCTCACGGAGAACTCGCCCTGCGCCCAGCCTCTGGTCGAGCAGCCAGAGAGAATGTAGATTCTACTGAACCCGCACACCTCACAGAGAGCACTCTGTGGGCCAGACACCAAGCACTTCACGGCTGTTAACTCCTTGATCCTCACAACAGCCCAGAGGGAGAAGGGACTCCTCCTCCTTATAGATGGAAACTGAGGCACAGAGAGATGAAGTCACTTGCCCAAGGCCAACCAGCTAGCGAGTGACAGAGCTGGGGTTGAAAGCCAGCCGTCTGGCTCCAGTCTGTGCTTTCTCTCAGCCATGGGTGGTCTTGCAAAGGGTGGCTGTGAGGGTGTTGGGTGGCACACCTGGGATGGAGGTCGAGGGGCGTGTGGGGAGCAGAGGAGGCTCCGAAGAGGCAGGCTCCTGTCAGCACCGAGAGTGCAGTGCCGGCCGCTCCTGCTGCTGCACATCCAGCTCCCCAGTCTAGTCCTCCCCCCATCAGACAAGAAATGCAGGCCCTGCCGTAACCGGTTTGGCTCAGTGGATAGAGCGTCGGCCTGCGGACTGAAGGGTCCCAGGTTCAATTCCGGTCAAGGGCATGTACCTTGGTTGTGGGCACATCCCCAGTAGGGGGTGTGCAGGAGGTAGCTGATCGATGTTTCTCTCTCATCGATGTTTCTAACTCTCTATCCCTCTTCCTTCCTCTCTGTAAAAATATCAATAAAATATATTTTTAAAAAAGAAAAAAAGAAATGCAGGCCCAGAAGGATTCACTGTCACCCAGGCCTGGACTCCCCACTGCAGCTCTTGGCCCCCAACACCATCTGGAGACAACCTGTACCTCTGGGGGGTGGGCATGCCCAGCTTTGTGGACACTGAAGGGGTCAGTGGGAAGGGGGGAGGGTGGGTCTGTGGAACAGGCGCTCTGTCCTCGTGTCTGGGGCCCAGGCAGGGTCCTGGGACTCCAGCTGTGGCTCTGTGTACCTCAGCTGGCTGTGCTGTCATCTGTGGTGGCGGAGGGATTCTAAGCTGTGGTGGGTGTGTGGCCATATCTGCACCATCTGCCAGAGTGTTCTGAGACTGTGGCTGACGTATTTGATAACATGACCTCTGCCCTCAGACCTGGCCTTCCCCACTCCTGCCTTATTTTTGTCTACAGCCCATATCCCCTTTTCTCGTAATATATACTTCATCTGTTCACCAGGTGTATTACCCATCTCCCGGAAGGTAAGTCCCACGAGGCAGGATTCTTACCTGTGTCCAGTGCAGTGTCCCCAGGGCTCTGTGGCACCGGCCGAGGGCAGGTGCTGATCAGCACTGTGAATGGAACCACTTCTGTGAACTCCGTCCCTGGCGTGCCTTCCTCTCTCTCTCTTTCTCTCTTTTACTATTTATTTGATGCTGAATTTATTGCCGGGCCGGAAGCTTTTGTTCCTTCCATTCCTTCTGGGACATCTTTTTCTCCTGTGCACTCCTCCTCCACTGGTGTAGGAGCCGCCTGCCCTTTCTCGGCAGGGGGAGCTCATGCGGGTTAACCCGCCGTGAGCTCTGTACGTTCTGCCCGCATCTTGGCGGCTTTGTTCACCTGGATGTGCTCGATGACCAGATAATCTACATCTGAACCCTTGCGCTCTGCATTACTCTCTGCATTTTTAAGCACATGCAGCAAAAATTCAGCACTCCGTTTTGGCCACCGGCCCTGTGTCCAGCCCCACTGTTTGGCCTGGGCACACCTACCAGCTCCATCATTGTAACGACAAATGGCACACATTGCTTCTGTAGAGTGAACATGAAGATTTGAACCTCTTGATTTGCATGATTTTGTGGGGTTTTCTGGGTCAGCTAAATAGCAAACCACTTTTGGAGGTCACCTCTAGCTGCTCTGAGGAAGAGTTATGGCATGTCTTTGTGTCAGTACCATCCCTGACACTGGGTCTGGATGACAGCAGGAGACAAATAGGCTGGCAGTACCCAAGTGGGGGCCGGGGGCAGTGACTGTCTCTGGGGGGTGCCAGCTCAGCTGGTCCGGAAGCGTTGGGGAAGGTAATGCAGCAAAGATGCTTGTTGCCCATTGTGGTCATCCTGGGCCTGGCATCTGGCCTCCAGGGGTTCTAGGTGCTGGGGAGGGAAAAGGTAGGTGGGGAATGGGGCCTGACCTGATGCCACACCCCCCACAACAGGGAGAAGATGAGCGTGGGCTGCCCAGAGCCTGAGCCACCCCGCGCTCTGCCCTGCTGTGGGCCAGGGACGGCCCTTGGGCTGGGGGCAGGCGTGCCCCTCCTCACTGAAGACATGCAGGCCCTGACCCTCCGCACCCTGGCTGCTAGCGATGTCACCAAGCACTACGAACTGGTGCGGGAGCTGGGTAAAGGCACCTACGGGAAGGTTGACCTGGTGGCCCACAAGGGCACAGGTGAGTATCTGTAAGGCGGCTGGTGTCATGCTTGGGTGGGGACTTAGCTGGGGCTCTCAGGTGCTCTCTGCGGGGGCCAGGAGGCTAGCAGGGAGGAGAGGCAGTGGTCCAGGTAAAGAGGATGCAGCCTGAGTGGCCCAGGGAGGAGAGGAACAGGCAGATGGGACAAAGGAATCTGGAGATGCCTTTGGGACAGCCAAGAGGATGCACCCCAGGACATCTGGAGCTCAGGAGGAGATCAAGGTCAGGACTGGTGGTGGTGTTGGGAGAATCACCAGCATATCAGTGATAGCTGACCCCAGGGAGATGGACAGGCTGTGGGTCCTCCAGAACAGGGTACCTGCTTTGAGGAGGGTGGGCAAGCTCCATTCCTCAGAGAGTTTCAGTCAAGGTCATGCAGAGGGTTTGAGCTAGGATGAGGCCCCAGTCCTCAGACCCAGAGCCTTCTCACTTAACCACAGCACTTGCTGCCTTCCCCACTCTGTAGGCTCACAGCAGTGCCCACTCAGTCGCAGATGGGGTCTGCATGAGCTCCCACATGTGCACACACCTGGGGCAGTTGGCTCTATGCCGACTGAAGGCAACAGGAAGATCACTGGACATGAGATCACCTGAGCTTTGCCACCTGCTTGCTGTGTGACCTTAGGCATGTGACTTAACCTCTCTGTGCCTAGGTTTCATCCTCTGTAAAATGGGGTAGCATTAGTGCCCAGCTCATAGGATCACTGTGAGGACTCAGTTGTGAATGTGAATTGCTGAAGGCAAGGCAAGTGCTCTGTGGATACACAGGTGCCTGCCCAAGCACACAGTCAGAGATACTATGTGCCTTGCAGGCCCTCACCTCCCTGTGTTTAATTCCTTCTCATTCATTCATCCATTAAACAAACATTTGTTGAGCACCTACTGTGCACCAGACTCCTGTAGGCACTGGAGATATAGCAATAAACAAAACAAAGGTCCCTGCTCTTGGGAAGTTGTGTTCTTGTTGGGGAGACAAACGCGCTAAGTAGGTCTAGTATGTCAGGAGGAAAATGAAAGGGTGGGGCAGCTGCAGGCTGGGTGCAGAGGATCCAGCTCGAGCCCTGACTTGCTGCACGGCCTTTGGCAAGTGCTTTCCCCTCGTTGGGTCTGCCCTCTGGGACCCCACTGTGCCTTGTGCCTGGGACAGGCTGTGCAGACAGGCATGGGTGGTGTCAAGTGCAGGAGGGCAGGAGCGGGGGCCTTCACCACTGTTGCCCTGCCAGGCATGAAAATGGCGCTGAAATTTGTGAACAAGAGCAAAACCAAGCTGAAGAACTTCCTGCGGGAGGTGAGCATCACCAACAGCCTCTCCTCCAGCCCCTTCATTATCAAGGTCTTTGACGTGGTGTTTGAGACCGAGGACTGCTACGTCTTTGCCCAGGAGTATGCGCCTGCTGGGGACCTGTTCGACATCATTCCTCCGCAGGTACTTGGGGCGGTGGCTGAGGGAGGGGAGCCGGTCTCCAGGGCCCCAGAGTGTGAGTTGGGAGGAGTCAGGCCACTCATTTACTCCATGAGTATTTACTGAGCCACTGCTGGGAGGGCAGGGGATCCACAGTGAACAAGACCAAGGTCCTGTCCTGGTCCTCGGCGGGGACAGACACTTGGCAATAAGCCAGATGACAGACTGAGATGAGCACTGGAAGGAGCAGCTAGAGTGATGGATGAAGGCCAATGGCAGCGGCCTCTGCAGCTGCAAAGGACCAGGTGGAGGCACCGAGGGGAGGCCGCAGAGGCTCCCCAGAGAAGCTGCCGAGTGGGGAAGCAGGAGGGTTCCTGGCACCCGGCTTTGCTGCTGGCAGTGCCAGGTTTGAATCTGCTCTGCCACCTACTGATCAGTGACTAGGTCAGTGGTTCTCAACCTTCCTAATGTCGCGACCCTTTAATACAGTTCCTCATGTTGTGGTGACCCCCAACCATAAAATTATTTTTTTAAACATATTTTATTCATTTTTTACAGAGAGGAAGGGAGAGAGATAGAGAGTTAGAAAGATCGATGAGAGAGAAACATTGATCAGCTGCCTCCTGCACATCTCCTACTGGGGATGTGCCCGCAACCCAGGTACATGCCCTTGACCGGAATCGAACCCGGGACCTTTCAGTCCGCAGGCTGACGCTCTATCCACTGAGCCAGACTGGTTTCGGCCATACAATTATTTTTGTTGCTACTTCATAACTGTAATTTTCCTACTGTTATGAATCGTAATGCAAATATCTGATATGCAGGATGTATTTTCATTGTTACAAATTGAACATAATTAAAGCATAGTGATGAATCACAAAAACAATATGTAATTATATATGTGTTTTCCGATGATCTTAGGCGACCCCTGTGAAAGGGTCGCTCGACCCCCAAAGGGGTCGCGACCCACAGGTTGAGAACCGCTGG